ACCGAGTTGGGTCCCGGTCATTAAATGTCGGTACCGAGTTGGGTCCCGGTCATTAAATGTCGGTGCTGAGTTGGGTCCCAACACTCATGTCTAGTGATTTTTGCCTAGTTACTTTTTCATTCTTATAGCAACAGAGAAAATATAGGATATGCTTTCAAACAAACGCTATTTTTTCCGTCACACTTAATCCAGGCTTCGGACTGGCAGCATATATATATCTTGATAAATGGTGACTTATATATATACTGGCGTGTTTAAAAATGTGTTTGTGTTTCTTAAATATGCATATACTGGCTTACGTAAATTTGTCTGTATGCGGAGACTCCTTGTCATGAATAAAAATGCCAATAGTATAGTCACGGTGTACTAGATAGTATGACAAAGGATTTTTGATGCAAAAAAAAAAATTTTTTTTTTATTTACAACAATTTTAAATAAGCAATAACTTGTAAATCATTAATACACATGTAAAAATATGAAATCTAATAAAAATAATTTTGACCTTTTACTTTTTAAACTGTGGTAAATATAAATCAGTTTAATTGTAATATAATCGGACAGTTAAACGAGCAAATTTGCTAACATAACAGTTTTAGTCGTTCAAAGCAGAATAATGACCGTATAAAATCATATAATTCAAAAAATCTAATAAATTAAAAAAAAAATCTTTCCAATTTTTATGAAATTAAGTTTGTTGTTAGTTTTTAAAAAATGGAAATGAATTTTTCTTTTGAAAATGATCATTTTATGTGTTTTTTGGTCGGGGGGCCTCGCTCTTCCATACCACCCAACAACTCACCCACCATCAAGGGCTGTCGCCCCTGGACTAGTTAGCAAATACTTGTTTTCTTACCATGGGCCCAAAGTGCAACTGCCACTTTGCACGCCTGGGTCACACTTTGCGCCCTTGGAATCACATTTGGCTCACGGGTAAAAGTTTCTTGCGCCCTCCGGTCCTAACGTACTTTTCTGCCCTAGGACTCATAGTGATTTACCGGGCGCAAAGTGGGCCCACGGGCGCAAAATTGCACTTTGCGCCCTCGGTGAGAAAAACAGTATACGCGAGTCGGGCACCAACCTACAACAAGCGTGCCTTTCAGGTGCTCATGTTTGTACTTTGTGCCCTAGTGACGTAATGTACCATTTCGTCGGATAAGTGCCGTCGTTTCGTCGGTAAGTGCCTCTCAAAAACGCCCGAGGTAGGAAATGGTACATTATGTAACTAGGGTACAAAGTACAAACATGAGCGCCCAATGGTGCGCTTGTTGTAGGTTTGTGCCCGAGTCGCGTATAATGTTTTTCTTACCCAGGGCGCAAAGTACAATTTTCGCCCGTGGGCACACTTTGTGCCCAGTAAATCACTTTGGGACCTAGGGCAGAAAAGTACTTTGGGTCTGGAGGGTGCAAAAAACTTTTCTGCCCGTGGGCCCAAAGTGATAACAAGGGCGTAAAGTGTGACCCGAGGGCGCAAAGCGGCAGTTGCACTTTGGGCCTATGGTGAGAAATGGTAGTTTTCCTACGAGTTTAAAAAGTCTTTGTTTGCGAACCGTGAGGTTTGCGTCCTGAGCCGAAGGCGAGGTCCGTAACGAGGTTCGTAAAGGAGACTTTTCGAACGAGTTCCGGAAAACTGCTTTTTCGCCCGAGGAAGTACCAGCCTCCCAAAACCACCCGAGGCGAAGTTTTTTCCGACTTTGGGTGTTTTTGAGAGGCTAGTGTGCCCTCGGTAGGAAAAATAAGATTCACCACATAAGTGCCATCGCTCTGCGGCTATTTTGCGGCCCGAGGGCCCTGCTTCGGAGGTCCCTCGGGCTACAAAATAGCCCAGCAAACGACGGCACTTATCCAGCGAAAACTACTATTATATCTAACGTTATCTTGAATATTTTTCTCTCTTTTAAATTTTAAGTAATTTGTGCGATATTTATAAACTGCGAAACTGACAAAAATATTTTGGGATACGATTGTTATTCCAGCAAAAATGTTAAAATCAAATTTTGATCTCAAACATTTGTATACTTATTTATCGATCCTACAATTGTGAACGATTATGTCGTTTCATATAGTTTGCCATTTTTTAAAAATATGTGATTTTTGAAATTGAATCCAAAAAAGTGCATCCCCTTTTCTGTGAAGAAAAAATGAACTCTTTGTTTGCAACATAAGAGAAAGTAACTCAACTCTTATAAAATAATAAGTATCAACTTGGCACATAAAAAAGTCAACTCAACTTAAGTATACAATAAAAAAGAGGTCAACTTTATTTATTACGGAAAAATTTTTATTTTGATATTAAGCCAAAAGAAAATAATTTGATTGGTTTTTAGTGCGTGTTAATCGACCTTTTGAAATCTAAATGAGTACATTGTTACAGATTTAAGAGTTAAAATTACGTTACTACTGAGTCAATGAATACTTAGTTGCTCTTAACCCATACTACTAAGCTGTTTCTAAATTTTCTTTACCGAAAGCAACACACTCATATAATTAACTTGACACTACTCCATGTTCCATTCTTAATCGATTAATGTACCTATTATTGTTTACTAATTCATTGAGAAATTAGTGACCAGATTTGCACTGATTTAGTTTTATAATAGAGTTAAGTTGTGTTCTATTAAACAGAAGTGTGATCATCTCTTTTTATTGATGACTTGAGTTGACCCATTTTATATCGCTTTAACTTTTTTTTTTGATAATGACGCTTTTTAATTGTCAGATCAATTAAATGCGATCAATGGCCGTTGTCGAGTTGGGTCCCAAACTGAGAAAAAGGGCCGAGTTGGGTCCTGGTCATTAAATGTTGGTACCGAATTGGGTCCCGGTCATTAAATGTCGGTACCGAGTTGGGTCCCGGTCATTAAATGTCGGTGCTGAGTTGGGTCCCAACACTCATGTCTAGTGATTTTTGCCTAGTTACTTTTTCATTCTTATAGCAACAGAGAAAATATAGGATGTGCTTTCAAACAAACGCTATTTTTTCCGTCACATATTTTCCAGGCTTCGGACTGGCAGCATATACATATATATATTGATAAATGGTGACTTATATATATACTGGCGTGTTTAAAAATGTGTTTGTGTTTCTTAAATATGCATATACTGGCTTACGTAAATTTGTCTGTATGCGGAGACTCCTTGTCATGAATAAAAATGCCAATAGTATAGTCACGGTGTACTAGATAGGTAAAAACTTCATAGAAACGTCCTGAACAAATTGTAGTCGAGTTATAGATCCACTTTGAAACTGTTCCATCTTTTTATATAAAAAAATTTCTTTGTCATGAGTCACTGTTGATTTAGTTTTAGCACTTCGCATTTTAACATAAGCTTCAGCTTGAACTGATTGTAGTGCTTCTATAAAGATGTATATATTTGGCCTTAGAGTGTAAAACATACTATTGAATCTTGAATGGAATGCCTCACAACCGTTAGTTGTTCGACAGATAGAACACTTCCAACGACCTACATTGTCACTTAAGGTAGTTCATCCAAAAACGCGATGTCGACAGAAAAATTTAAATTTATCCTTAAATGGTACCTAATGATTGACTTAATACGTAGCTAAAATTTTATTTATTTCTGACGTACCGTTTTTTAACTGTACTGCTTCAAAAGTATCCTTTTTAGCACGTGTAGCATAGGTAAACAAACTCTCCTACTGATTAAAAAAAATTCTATCGACAGAATATTGAAAACTAATATTTATTCAGAAGGCAATGTCTTGCCGATCAAAATAAAACCAAGAATTTTCAAATCTGACTTACCGTTTTTGAGTAATCATAAAGCAAAGTAATTAATTTTGTATGAAATACATAATAAGCTGAAATAAAGAATGTGAGAGCGGCAACAGCGCACTATGTCGATAATTTCCCTGCAGCTGTGACCTATGTTATCGAGCTCGAATTTACTTTCTGTTTGGTACATACAATTTTTATTGTGATGTATACAATGAATACTACATTTAAAAATAATTATAAATAGAACCTTTTTTTTTACCTTCGACAGCATTCTTTTTCGCGAATCTCCCGTTGACAATAAACTGCTCACACCGAGGCTTCGGCATTTTTCGCGTGTTTACAAAAACATAACCTTGTAGACGTCTACTTTAGGATAGTAGTATTACTCAATATACGGGCATACTTACAATGTTGCCAAACCATTCCAGTACTTCTTATGAGACTATGTTAGTGTACACATGCACACATCTTAACCTGTGTGATAGACAGTAGTGCTCAAAGTTTAGATATTCGGTTATGAATGTTCTCATACGGGGAGCCACATGAAAATAATGAGAGACACTTGTGTGGATGAACTACCTTAAATTTTTGTCAAATCGGTACGTGAAGTTATCTTTTTTAATTAAAGTTTTACCTTTTTCACTTATATAAAATTCCATCATTTAATTAAAGTAATACTTTAAAACAACGTTGACGACTAACGGCAGTCAGCTAATAATCGTAGTATAATTGTAGTATTTACTATGTAAGGTAGTGTTGGTTTGTTGTTGCCATGATAGTGACTAACACTGTTCAATATACAAGAAAATAGTGTTTGTTTGATAGCATACTGTATACTTGCTGTTATCGGAAAAATAAACAAGTAACTAGGCAAAAATCACTAGACATGAGTGTTGGGATCCAACTCGGTACCGATATTTAATGATCGGGACCCAACTCGGTACCGACATTTAATGACTGGGACTCAACTCGGTACCGACATTTAATGACCGGGACCCAACTCGGTTACAGGATTAAGGGATCTTATCGGCCGGGACCCAACTTGGCTTTTCCGCGATCAATAAGCTGTTAACAGTTTAACAAAAAGCACGTACCACATCAACCAAACTTTGTATAAGTGAAATGCCATCTAACCAAAGGAAAATGTAAATCTTGGCAACACAAAAGCCATAAAAAAAGATAACAGCTTTGCATACAGATATCGAGAATAAAATAAAAAAAAGCTGCATTTTGCGGAGGGCAATATCTACGAGACGACAAAATCGAAAATGTTTTCAATTTAGTTACACTGTAAATGGTGAACTGAACTCTTTTGGTGCCCTCCTCTTGCGCGCTACCGTTTATCCCCGGGTTGCCTTGGCACATGGATTTCACCCAAGCCAGTGCCTCAGGGCTCGCTGCTCTGATCACATCCACTCGGCCTTTTGCGAATCTTCGGATACCCGCACTCTCATATGTTGCCACCAGCCGTCCATGAAGCCTTAAAAAATTCAGGCTATAGTTAGTTTTTTCTACAGATATTTTCAGTTAAAAAGTCATTCATAGTGGAATTGAACGACTTAACACAAAAATGTGCATTACGATTTATTTTACGTTCATTCATGAGTTCATAAATAAACATTTAATAGTAAAATTATTTTAGATTTTAAATTACTCAATATCCATTTAGTTCATAAAAAAAGTGTGCGTAAACATTTATATATTATCAGATACTTTAGCTTACCGAAAATAAGTCAATTGTAATGCTAATTGAATGTATACATCAGGGCTTATGTTGCAACTTTTGATGAATTCTTTGGTATAATCCTTGAACCACATAATGCATAGATCCAAGTCTTCCACAAGTCTGAAAATAACGTTGATGCAAAAATAATCTTTAAAAATTAATTTTTCAACTTTAATGCTATTTATTTGTTGGATAAAATAAATGTCAACAAATTAAGAAGTCACAAGAAGACAACGCAATTTTATTGACTACTTATTAAGAAAATGTAATAGTTAAAATCAAGATACAGCTTTACACGACACAATCTGAAATGCAGTTGTAAAAGAAGAAAAAAAAAAAAAAAAATATCACATTCAACCAAGTCTTTTATTTTATTAGAACTTTAAAACATGACAAAATCATTTTTTTCCAAATGTAACGGCTTGTTATAAATATTTTGATGCAACTAAAACCAATAGTGATTTTTACCTAGTTACTTTTTCATTCTTATAGCAACAGAGAAAATATAGGATGTGCTTTCAAACAAACGCTATTTTTTCCGTCACATATTTTCCAGGCTTCGGACTGGCAGCATATACATATATATATTGATAAATGGTGACTTATATATATACTGGCGTGTTTAAAAATGTGTTTGTGTTTCTTAAATATGCATATACTGGCTTACGTAAATTTGTCTGTATGCGGAGACTCCTTGTCATGAATAAAAATGCCAAGTATAGTATAGTCACGGTGTACTAGATAGGTAAAAACTTCATAGAAACGTCCTGAACAAATTGTAGTCGAGTTATAGATCCACTTTGAAACTGTTGCATCTTTTTATATAAAAAAATTTCTTTGTCATGAGTCACTGTTGATTTAGTTTTAGCACTTCGCATTTTAACATAAGCTTCAGCTTGAACTGATTGTAGTGCTTCTATAAAGATGTATATATTTGGCCTTGGAGTGTAAAACATACTATTGAATCTTGAATGGAATGCCTCACAACCGTTAGTTGTTCGACAGATAGAACTTATAAACTGTGCCCAAAGTGTCGGAGGCATAGGAGCATGAGGTTTGATGTAGTTATCAAGGACATGGTCACAGAATTTTTCCACTTTACTATTTTCTGGCATAAG